CTTCTTGGGCCATCTTTATGGTATGCCTGCGAATCGCTTCGGATGCAGGTGCAAGAAAATTGAAAAAGTGTTGCAGAGGCGTACCGTGAGCAACAAAGGAATTAACACTTGGAATGTTTTGATTTTTTGTAAACAAGTAGGTGAATCGAATGATGCCAAAAGCCCACAGTTTGCCCGTATTCCAAGGATCCCAATTAATTTTTGCCATTTTGAAAACTTTTTAAATCATCCGCCAAAACTGTCTTTTCAACACCCATAATGACCTATCGTTTCATCTCTGATCTGGCGCCTAATCTCCCCCCTCTCCATGGGATGTCGCCACGTGTACGACCACGATCCACTGTCTCCTCCCCTTACCTTGTCTTTTCTACTTCAAATCACCACGTGGCACGACGCCCCTCGAGTCCCACGCCCCTCCACCTCACTCTTTGCGGTCGGCCCTCCTCTCAGTCAACCCTCCCACTCGACCAACCTCCAGTGTCGGCCCCCCTTCGCTGTCAGCCCTTCTCGTGGTCGACCCTCCCACTTGGCCAACCTCCACGGTCGGCCCCCCCTTTGCGGTCGGCCCTCCTCGTGGTCGACCCTCCCACTCGGCCAACCTTTGCGGTCGGTCCTCCCCATGATCGGCCCTTCTACTCGGTCGCCCTGCACGGTCAGACCACCCTCTCGGTCACGCTTGCCGGTCGACCTCCATCCTGCCAATCCCTAACACCCCATCTACTTCATTAATATTCACTTCGTTGGACTAAAGCTGCACTCGGGAATGGGGGACTACTGATGTGTACAAGTCCATAAAGGCCACGAATCACTATAAACAATCCAAGCCCATCACTTTGAGCGCAATGCATAACCCAGCTGGTGAGGTCCTGGACAGCTGGAGTCCAACATGGCATAAAGAGCCAATGACATTCAGACACACGGCAGGTGAAGGATGGGCCACATCAGCAGACAAAGATCTGCAAAGTTATTGCTACTGCGCATCACCATTAATGCAGCCCATCACAGCATTTATTACGACAACACCTCTCCATCGGAACAGGACCCCCTTACCCTGAGCAAGGTAAGCTATAGCATAGACTTTTGGCGAGGAGGGCAGGTCGGAAGGAACAGCGAAATGATTACCAAAGGATATAAGCAAACGTTGAAGACAAGAAGAAGGTTAAGCTTTTCTATCTCTAATCTCTCCTCTATACTCTACTTCTCTTCCTAACTTGCTCGTCGGAGGGTTCACTGGGGGACTACCTTGTTCCCTGTTGAACTTATTTGCAGGTTATCCGGTGAGCTTGATCATTTAGACCTGGTCTTGAGGAGCGTGGACCAGTCCGATCCATTCACTGGGACAAACTATATTATCAATTATGAAATTAGAAGTTTCGCGGGACAAGATGTAATTTTCGTAATCATTAAGGGGCAAACCACATTCTAAGCAACCTCAAGAGGTGTTATTTGTAATTTACTCAAAAAAAGGTATATAGAAATGTATTTTATATTATATTTTTATCAATAAAAATTAAAAAAAAAAGGATTTTTGTGTATTTATTAATATAAATTTTATTTTTTTATATTTAGTTATAAAAAATCAAATAAAAATTTCGTATGTGTATAATTAAACTTCTCCATGCATAACATTAGGGAACAGGTAATTAATATAACATTTGATTGATGTTAGGGTAATATAACTTACCAAAAACAAATTTCAGGCGACATAAGCTATTACGGCGTTTTTGAAGTGTCGCTGAATGCCTGTGTGACGTCATTTTACCGTTGGGCTGTCACATTTAGCGGCGTTTATAAAAACACCGCATATGATAATTTTACGACGTTTTTAAAGCGTCTTAAACTTACAGCGACGGCCGCGTCCTCGGCGTTTGGTGATAAGCGTCACTGAAGGAATTAGCAGCGTTTTTCAGACATATAGCGGCGTTTTTAAAACGCCACTAAAAATCGTTTTTCCAGCCGTGAATGTAATTAATGCAGTTGATTTCAATTTAAATATCACTTATCATGAAAATGTTGTCAATTTCACAAGAAACCAATCCCAACAGTTCGAAGACAAGAATTCATTTGAATTATTTATTTGTTATGTCCAACTCAGAAGATGCAAGAAACCTTGGTGTCAAGACTTTTAGTTCCCTAATCGTAACAGTGAAGTATTAATAAATTTTAAATAGTAATTTTATAAATTGTTTATTATTATTATTATTATTATTATTGTTATCATTATTATTAATGGACCTAAAGATCTTATTCTAGTACAAATTACATAAGAAACCAAGTCAAATATAAACGTACATGTGTTATGTGTTAAAGGATAAATGTGAGTTTTCTCGTAAAATTAAAATTACTATACTTAACACTTCAAAAAATTACTTAGTATACTTTTCTTAAACATAATACCTCAATGTAATACTTTAAAAATGTGACACTCCAATGTAGCATACTAAAAAATTTCTTAGCATACTTTTTTCAAACGTAACAACGTAATATTAAAAAAAAAAACTCTTCAGTATATTTTTTCTAAACGTACCAAACGTAACACTCCAATCAATGTAACACACAAAATTCCTTAGTGTATTTTTTCTAAATGTAACACATTAAAAAACTCCTTAGTGTAATTTTCTCTAAAGTAACAACGTAACATTCTAAAAAAAACTCCTTAATGTATTTTTTTTTTTTCAAACGTAATACTTCAATCAATGTAACACACAAAAATTTCTTAGTATACTTTTTCCAAACATAACACTCTAATGTAACACTCTAATGTAATACCAAAAAATCACACTAATAGAAATGTACATTTCTATGTCTTTTTTTTTTTTTTTTTTTAAAACAAGAAGAGACAAGCTAAGAGGCATTAAACAAAAACTCCAAGGTAGCTGGTGGCTGTCCCACCCAGTTAAGAGGGAGACGACCATAGAGGGAAGCTTGGGCCACCCAATGCGCAGCTAACCAACACTTTAGAAACCAATCATTTTAAAAAGAATCTTTCACACTTCACATTTTCATTTTCATCCCAAAAATAAATTAAAAAATTATAAAAATAAATCACAAAAAGGCTCATGCTTGTCGATTTTTATTGTTCATTGCAATTGGGTTCCCAAGCGTAGGAAAATATCATGGTCAAGCATAGTAAGTCTTGGAAGTCCCAAGGTCATTTCCAAAGGGATTTATGTGCAAGTCCAAAGAGTATGAAATTTTAATTCAAAACGGAATTTGATTTTGATCATAGGCAGTTGTAAATGAAAGTTTTAAAGAGATTAAGATTCGGAGATCGACTCACAACAACTCAATTGAGATTCATACAAAAGTTGATCTCAATCGGAAAGTTTAACAATTTCATGAAAAATATTTTTCAAAAGATGATTTCATAAAAACTTGATTGGCTCAACATATCAAAACTAGTAATTTAATTTGCAGGGAATTATAAGCATTCATTGTATTCAAAATTAATGATAAATCAAAGAATTATACATAATAAAATACTTTTCTAAATAAAATAACCAATCAAATAAAATAAAACCTTATATTAAAACCATGAAAAATAGTTGACAAACATCAAACCCTTGTTGTCGCTTCACTCTTTTCCTTAGCAAAATAGTAGCTACTCATAATTAAATACATAAATTAAAAGAAAGAAAATATGAACTATAAAAGAGAATGAGGACTTTGTTTAGCGATGAAAGTTACACTCCAGGCTCTCCCAATTGAGGCTCCATCATCTCTATTTATAGACCAAGAGAAGAACAAAACAAACCAAAATACAAATCTTCCAATTTACGTTTTTCTACAAATAGGTGACTCTTGTTTTCCTCAAAGCATAAGAGTCGTAGGTTTGTGAGTCTTCTTTTCAGGGATATAAAATGAACCTAAATTAGATTTCTGAGTTGAAAGTTATGGCCAAATAAATGAAACTGGATAGTTTTGTCAACAATGGCGGCCAGAGTTCATCCGAAGTTGCATCGCGATTTTGACCTTGCAGTAGCTGGAATGGGAAGTTTTGAGGAAATTAATACTATAAAAGTGTATTAATATCCAAAAATAAATAGAATTAATATTATAAAAGTGTGTTAATATCCAAAAATAAATAGAATAATTATACACTTTTTAGCACTTATCAATTCACTTAAACTTATATAGAATCAAATCAAATAAATATAATTTAAAGAAAAAAAACTAACTAGTTCATAAATAAATAAAAAGAAATTAGAACTAAATAGATTAACATTCTCTCATGTAAAATTTATGGATAAATTTTCCTAATAATAACCTAATTGCTTACATGATTTGAAAGTTTATTTAAACTCCGTTTAAATTATAGAAGGAATTATCCTAATATGGGATGTGATCTGAACCTGATCTCTTTCCAAACTTGTTTGTTTAATACCTCGTTTAGCAATATGTTATTTTAGTAATTTTTTAACTTGTTAACTAAAATATGAGATTAAAAAATATCATATGTTTGTGATGTTTTTTTTGACTTTTCATAAAAAAAAATTATGCAAAAAAAAAAATTAACTTTCTTGTATAATTTTTTTTGAATTTTTTATTATTATTTTAATAATTTTTTAACTTTTAAGCTATAAAATATAGAGTAAAATGCCAATAGGTCATAATAATTGGCATTAATTCTTATCAAATCTTATTGAAAACAAGTCATAGTAAAATCGTCACTAAAAATAATTTTTTGTGATCCTTTTTTTACATATATCACTAAAAATTGACAATTAGTAACTTTTTTTATCATGATTTTTATAATTTTTCACTAAAACTTACAATTAAAGACATTTTGTTGACGAATTTTTCAAACTGTTGCTAAAAATTGAAAATTAATGACTTTTTTATAATTTTTTTTAAATTATGACTAAAACTTATAAATTTGATAAATTATTTTATTTTATTTTTTATTTTTTTATTTTCTGCCCTTTTTTTTATTTTTCTCACTTATTTTATTTACGCCGTGTTACGGGCACACTAGTACATATATAGGGGCTGAAGTTCAATACACACCTAACAACCAACCAAAGTAATAACAAGGTGATGTTGTCCTCTTTCACAAAATGTCTCATCATTCTACATCTCCATCTTCATTTCCTCATCTTCTTCTTGTTCTTCATTGTCCACTCTGCCTCCAACAACACCACTGAACAAAATAATCAAGAAGCTACAACACTACTCAAATGGAAAACCATCCTCCATAGCACTCACCCCATTTCACCTCTACTCTCCTGGAAACCATCTAATTCCAATTCTTCATCATCTTCTTCTTCGCCATGTCAATGGGATGGAATCACCTGCAACAACCATGGAAGTGTCATAGACATAAACCTCAAGAGCTCTAGCCTAACAGCTAATCTCCAAAGCCTTGGCTTCTCATCATTTCCACACCTTCTTGGACTTGATCTCCAAAACAACTCACTCCATGGAACCATTCCATCCTCCATAGCCAACCTTTCCAAGCTCACTTACCTTGCTCTGGCTCGAAACCAGCTCCACGGTCCAGTCCCTGATTCGATCGGACTCATCGATAAATTGAATGTTCTTCTTCTCTTTGGAAACTATCTCTCTGGAACAATCCCACCCTCCATTGGCAACTTGACAAAGCTCACTTACTTGAGATTGCATTACAATGAGCTATCTGGCTCTGTACCCTCAGAGATTGGAAAGCTAAGTAATCTTTATCTTCTAACTTTTTTTGAGAACAAACTCAGTGGGCCTCTTCCTTTATCAATAAACAATCTTACCCAATTGAAGAGACTTTTTGTGGGTGAAAACAATTTCAGCGGCTCTCTACCTCAAGAGATTTGCCATGGTGGGTCATTTGAAAAGTTGACTGCTGCTAACAACCATTTTGTGGGTCGAATCCCAAAATCCTTGAAAAATTGTTCCAAATTGATGAGACTTAGGCTTGAAAAGAACCAATTAGTGGGTAACATATCAGAGGATTTTGGGGTGTACCCAAATTTGGAGTACATTGATTTGAGCTATAATGAGTTCTATGGGGAGCTTTCTTGGAATTGGAGGTTCTTTGGAAACTTGACAAAGTTAAGCATCTCTAACACTCGAGTTTCTGGGAAGATACCAGCTGAGCTTGCTGAAGCACATCGAATTGAAGAGCTTGATCTCTCTTCCAATCATCTAATTGGGAATATTCCAAAGGAATTGGGGAATTTGAGTTCATTGCGTGTACTTGTGTTGGATGATAACAAACTTTCAGGTGGTATTCCAGTAGAAATTGGGATGCTAATGAATCTGGAAAAACTCGATTTGAGTGGAACCAATTTAAGTGGTGTAGTTGTGGCACAACTTGGGAATTACTTGAAGCTAAGGGAGCTGAATTTGAGCAACAATAGATTTAGGGGAAGTATTCCCTCAGAGATTGGGAATTTGCGTTCTCTTGAAAGTCTTGATCTTAGCCATAACTCACTTGTGGGTGAGATACCACCACATATTGGAGAAATGCTCCGACTAGAAAGGTTGGATCTCTCCTACAACAATCTCTCTGGTTCGATCCCATCCACTTTCAATCGATTGTTAAGCTTGATGTATGTCAATTTGTCCTACAATCGGTTGGAGGGTCCTATTCCTAATACTAGAGCGTTTCGTGAGGCTCCAATGGAGGCATTTTGCAACAACAAGAACTTGTGTGGAAATGCTCGGGGTCTCAACAGTTGCCCCTCCAAGATAAGGAACAATGTCAATGGGAATAATAAGAGGATAGTGTTGATCCTAATCATAGTAATTCCTTTTTTGGGCTCTCTTTGTATTTTTATTGTCGTTGTTAAAGTTTTCTTTGTTTGTAGTGGGACAGTAAAGAGCGAAGAAAACAAGTTAGGGGAAGAACAAGAGGAGAATTTGTTTACAATATGGAGCGATGATGGTAAAATGGCGTATGAAAACATAATCGAAGCAACAGAAAATTTTGACCCCAAACATTGCATTGGAGAGGGAGCGACCGGGCGTGTTTATAAAGCTGAATTGCAAACCGGTCAAGTTGTTGCCGTGAAGAAACTTCACTCATCTCAAGATAGCGATGCAACAAACGCAAGAGCTTTTACTTCGGAGATTCATGCACTTGCAGAGATAAGACATCGAAACATCGTGAAGCTACATGGTTATTGTTATCATGCACAAAACTCGTTTTTGGTTTATGAGTTCTTGGAGCGGGGAAGCTTGGGGGCATTATTGAGAAACGAAATAGAAGCCGCACAGTTTGAATGGATTAAGAGAGTCAATGTTATTAAAGGCATGGCCAACGCGTTGTCCTACCTGCACCATGATTGTTCACCCCCGTTGATCCATCGAGACATATCGAGCAAGAACATTTTGTTAGATTTGGAATATGAGGCTCACATCTCAGACTTTGGCACGGCTAGGTTGTTGAAGCCTGACTCATCTAATTGGACCACATTCGCAGGAACCTTTGGATATGCTGCTCCAGGTAACATTTTATTAACAAAAAAATTTCATTCTGATCAACCGATTCAATTCACATCTCTGATAGAATTTTGATTCTCATCTAGTTTTGCTATCAATTTCGTAATGATACAATTTTGGACTGAAACACTTCTTTGATTTTCTTTCCTCTTGGTCACGGATTATATATTTGATTATAACGATGGTTGAATACAAACATATTTTCTTAGTGTTTTGATTTTCATGATGACTTTTGTGGATTTTATTTGTTTTGACTGTTAAATTTTCTTACTTTTTTTTTGGGGGGGGGGAGGGGTAAGATAAAATTTTCTTACTTGTACAGCAATAAAATTCAAACTTGTCCTCGCCAAGATTATTCAATTTAATCTAATCCTAGAGACATATTACCTAACATTGTTATTGTTATTTTAAGGGTAAATTACACGTACCTCCTCTGAGATTTCTGACAAATACAAAAATCTCTTATATAGTTTCAATAATTACATAAATCTCTTATTTAATTGACAATATCAAGATTCTCCCATTTTTTTGATTGTCGTTCATATAACTAACAGAAGATACTGGTGTCACCAAAAATAAATATTGAAATAGCTATATCAATCTCTTATTTCTCTTCGGCCTTTGTTCTTCCTTCCTTCTTCCCCGTTTCTTATCTACATTTACCCTGTTACAAACCCAGAATAGCCACCACCCACAACTTTTAATAACCACTGCTCAACCATTTATTCATACATTTACCACACGACCCTATCTCCTAAAGCCACCCACAACTTACAATAACCACCATTCCCAACAAATTTTAGATAACAGTTTTAAAAAAAAATTTAAAAAAAAAAAAAAAAACACCAATTTTAGATAGCAAAGCATCATTAACTTTACCTGTTAATGTACACTAAACCTAACCCACTAACCTAACCCACTACATCCACCCCACTAAACCTAACACACTTACCATCTCCACTACCACCCACCTCCTCCACTACCATCCACTACCACCACTCACTAACCCAAACCCTCTCCTATATAATGCCACTCTGATTTGTAATACTATATATCAATATATACAACAATCTTGTAATATATCAATCAATTATAATACATACAATTTCTCTCTATATCAATTTATCTTACATTACCCATTTGCTTCAGACCTAAACCACCATTTACCAAGATGAATCTTCCTCTTCTGATCAGAACCTCCCCCCAAAAATGTATTATTACAATGATCAATCGCCTTAAATTAAAAATGTATTATTACAATGATCAATCGCCTTATTAATTAACCCTCCAAAGTAACATTGTTTGTGCAAAATTGACGGATTGGGAGAATCTTGATATTGTCAGTTAAAGTAAGGAAGGTTTGTGTAATTATTAAAATTATAGGGGAGATCTCTATATTTGTCAAAAATCTTAGGGGCTGTGTATGTAATTTACCCTTATTTTCATGTGCTAAAGTTACAAAATTAGATAAATTTAACTGATTTTTTCTTTTAATTTGTGTCTATTTTTGTAGGGCCATCAAGACTATATATAAATGAAGAAAAGAAAAGTTGATCTTTAAATATTTTTAATTTCAGGTTGTTTAATAAAAGGGACTGAAAAAGTGAATTTTTTTTGACAGTTTTTAAAAAAACATTAAAGACAACAAAAGGAAAATTTTAAAAATATAAAAATAGAAAAAGAAAAAGAAAAAGAAAAAGAGTGTGTATCATTTAATGTTATACCCAATATATATTCCAAATAAGGAACCTTGCAATTGGCAAGACTGGATTTAGTGATATGTAATTTTTATTACAGAATCTGGCTAGGGAAGAAATTCAATGTGTAAACCTAGTACTAATGTTGCAACTATGAACTCAATAAGAAAGTAAATCAATATTTCTACATTCCTTTTCCGATGTACAAAAAACAAAAAAAGAATCAATATTTCCACACAAGCACCTACAATGTAGGATAATATAATTTGACCATTGATATAGAGGATTTATTTTTTTTATTTTTTTATTTTTTTGGCAGAGCTTGCTTACACAATGGAAGTGAATGAGAAATGTGACGTTTACAGCTTTGGAGTGGTAACATTGGAAGTGATCTTGGGAAGCCATCCTGGCACTTTCATCTCATTCCTATCATCATCGTTGTCATCATCATTGTCATCATCATCTGCCAATCACATATTGTTGAAGGATGTAGTGGATCAACACCTCTCGCCTCCTATGGATGAATCTGCAGGAGAAGTGATCTCAATTATGAAGCTTGCATTTGAATGCTTGAGCTCCAGTCCACAATCTCGGCCAACCATGCAACAAGTTTCAAAGAAGCTATCAACTAAGAATCCACCTCTGTCCAGGCCTTTTCTCTTAGTCTAGACTGCCAAAACTGGGGGAATTGGTAGAGTGAGTAACAGGCAAGCTTAATCTCATCTCATACTATCTCTTACACCAATATAGCATCACAACCCTTTTCACCTTTGAAACCACGGTCATTGCATTTACCTCAGCCACAATCTCTTCCTCCACTATTAAAACCATACCAATCATCACCTCTGTGGGTTTGATTGGAAACCATACCCACCATCACCTCTGTGGGTTTGATTTGGATCTGTGCAATTTAGAATCATACTCTACAATGGTTGTTTAATTGCAGAAAATGAGAAACAAGTGTTATTGGTAGTCTGGTTGCAGAGTTTGTTTGGAGAGGGTGGGTTAGGTTGGTGTGGTGAGGGTCGTTGGTCATTGTCGCGAGAGACCAAGAAGAGAGGCACCGTTGGGTTGGGTTGGAAAGGAGGGAGAGAGAGAGAGAGAGAGAGAGAGAGAGTGGGGTTCGATTTCACTGTTAGGAAGATAGAGAAGGGGAATAAAAGAGAAGAAAGAAACATATAAGTTGTGGGTGGTGGCTTTGGGTTAAAAAAGAAAAAGGCATTACCTTTAGCGAAAATGCATTATACCCCCATTGGGAGTCGACTTCCAGTGAGGTGGCGGTCTGTGATTGGGGCGAAAAAAATTGTTTTTTCTTTTTTTCTTTTTTTTGGGACTGTCAGCCAGTGGGGGTGCGCCACCTCACTGGGGTGCGACCCCCACTGGGGGTATAAGGCACTGCTTTTGTACAAACAATGTTACTTTTCTATACAAAATTACCATATTATCCTTTTAACCCTACAAAGTAACATTGTTTGTGCAAAATTGACAGATTGGGAGAATCTTGATATTGTCAGTTAAAGTAAGGAAGGTTTGTGTAATTATTAAAACTATGGGGGATATCTCTATATTTGTCAAAAATCTTAGGGGCTGTGTATGTAATTTACCCTTATTTTCATGTGCTAAAGTTACAAAATTAGATAAATTTAACTGATTTTTTCTTTTAATTTGTGTCTATTTTTGTAGGGCCATCAAGGCTCTATATAAATGAAGAAAAGAAAAGTTGATCTTTAAATATTTTTAATTTCAGGTTGTTTAATAAAAGGGACTGAAAAAGTGAATTTTTTTTTGACAGTTTTTAAAAAATCATTAAAGACAACAAAAGGAAAATTTTAAAAATATAAAAATAGAAAAAGAAAAAGAAAAAGAAAAAGAGTGTGTATCATTTAATGTTATACCCAATATATATTCCAAATAAGGAACCTTGCAATTGGCAAGACTGGATTTAGTGATATGTAATTTTTATTACAGAATCTGGCTAGGGAAGAAATTCAATGTGTAAACCTAGTACTAATGTTGCAACTATGAACTCAATAAGAAAGTAAATCAATATTTCTACATTCCTTTTCCGATGTACAAAAAACAAAAAAAGAATCAATATTTCCACACAAGCACCTACAATGTAGGATAATATAATTTGACCATTGATATAGAGGATTTATTTTTTTTATTTTTTTATTTTTTTGGCAGAGCTTGCTTACACAATGGAAGTGAATGAGAAATGTGACGTTTACAGCTTTGGAGTGGTAACATTGGAAGTGATCTTGGGAAGCCATCCTGGCACTTTCATCTCATTCCTATCATCATCGTTGTCATCATCATCTGCCAATCACATATTGTTGAAGGATGTAGTGGATCAACACCTCTCGCCTCCTATGGATGAATTTGCAGGAGAAGTGATCTCAATTATGAAGCTTGCATTTGAATGCTTGAGCTCCAGTCCACAATCTCGGCCAACCATGCAACAAGTTTCAAAGAAGCTATCAACTAAGAATCCACCTCTGTCCAGGCCTTTTCTCTTAATGACACTAGGGCAATTGTTCTAGATTTAGGATCTGTGAAACCATCTCCATTGTTTGACGGTATTGTTTGTTGTTTGTGAGGGTTGTGTGCAAGTTTAGTTCGGAAACTACTTCATATCAGGAGGAAGAAGATGAAGGGAAAAAAAAATTTGAAACTTGAGTAAGAAGATAAATAAAATTCAAACTTGTTCTCGCTAGGATTATTCAATTTAATCTAATCCTAGAGACATATTACCAAACATTATTTTTGTTATTTTAAGGATAAATTACACTTACATCCCTTGAGGTTTCTGGTAAATATAAGAATCTCTCATGTAATTTTAATAATTATTGACGTGGGTAGGCCCATAAAGGCCATAACCCACTATGAACAACCCAAGCCTACCACTTAAGGCCCAATACATAACCCAACTGATAAGGCCCAGCACAGCTGGAAGTCAACATGACATGACGGACCAATGATATTCAGACACATGGCAAGTAAAGGGCAAGCCACGTCAGCAGACAAAGATCTGCAAAGTTATTGCCACTGCACATCGCCATTAATGCAGCCCCTCACAGCATTTATTATGACAACACCTCTTCGTCGGGATAGCACGCCTTCACCCTGAACAAGGTGAGCTACAGCATAGACTTTTGGCCAAGGTGACAGGTCGGAAGGGACAATGAAATGATTATCAAAGGATATAAGCAGACGTTGAAAATAAGAAGAAGGTTGTTTTCTATCTCTAATCTATCTCTACAATCCACTTCTCTTCCTAACTTGCTCGTCGGAGGGTTCGCTAGGGGACTCCCCGTTCCCCCATTGGACTTTTGCGCAGGTTTCCCCGTGGGCTTAGTCATTCGGACGTAGGCTTGAGAAGCGTGGATCAGTCTGACCCGTTCCACTTGGAACGAACTGCATCATCAGTTGGCGCCGTCTGTGGGAACGCTTTGCTCCGCGCGCCAGTTGTGCTCATTATCGCCAAAGACCCTGTTCCAATAACCCTTTCCTGTTATCCATCAAAGTGTATGGTCACGACTAGATCCATGGCTTCTCACCAAAATGCTGCCGACCACTAAGCCGACCCTCCCAATCCAAACAACCCACCGCAGTATTTCATCGAGCTTACCAACAACGTTAACCGCATGGCCGAGCAAAACCAAGCCCTGATAAATGCCCTACTCCAAAGAAACCTTCATATGCCTCCTCCACCACCTCCAGTTATTCCGCCCAACCAAGAACGAGCCCCGAGCCATACTATCCCGCAGCCCTATCCACCCAACTTGGAAGGCTTGCAACCTCCTCCTCCTCCTAATATAAATCCACCAGCCCGACCCCCACATCCATCGGTCCTGGCACCAATCCCTGAAGGGGAAGCCAGTAGTGTCCAACCTCCGCTGCCTTCCGGTGGTGATAACATCCCTCTCTGGGATGCAGAACTTCGATCCATGAAGCTCCAACTCCAAGGGGTCACGCAGAACATCCAGCATAAACCCTCTACTATAGCAAACTCATCATTTGTTGCCTCCATCCGGGACAAACCTCTACCCCCCAAGTTCAAATGCCCACCATCGACTCTTTTGATGGTACGACGGACCCAGTCAACCATCTGGAGACCTACAGAACCCTCATGATCCTCCATGTATTCCCTGATGAGATCATGTGTCGAGCTTTCCCCGTGACACTGAAGGGGTTAGCTCGGCTGTGGTTTAGCTAGTTACCAGCAGACTCCGTCTCCACTTTCCAGCATCTCAGTGACTCCTTCCTCAGCCATTTTATTGGAGCCCAACGTCAACGCCATCCGGCAACCCAACTCCTCAACATCCGCCAGACCGAGGGGGAGTCCCTACGCAATTTCATTACCCGCTTCAACACCGAAGCCTTGCAGGTGGCAAAAAATGATGATAAGGTCATCCTTACGGCTTTCATGGCCGAACTACGGTCGTCTGATTTCCTCTTCTCCCTCTCTAAAATCCCCCCACCACCGTGGCAGCCCTACTCTCTAAAGCCCAAAAATACATAAACGCAGAAGATTCCCTAGCCGCTCGCCAAGACCCTACAGCAAAAAACCTAACCTCTCGAGAAAAACGAAAAGACTCAGAAACCAGAAACACCCAGCACAATAACCAAACACCCCACTATACCGACCGACCCCTCAGAGCTGACTGGACGGCACTAGCCTGACCGCCCGGTCGGTTCGAACGATACACACCCCTCAATTCCCCTATGGAACAAGTCCTCAATCAGATCCAGCGGGACTACCCCCTCAAATGGCCACAACCATCACGAACCCCTTCCAATAAGAAAGACCAGTCCAAATATTGTCGCTTTCACCAGGACCACAGCCATAATACCGACGAGTGCGTCAACCTCAAAGATCAGGTCGAGACCTTAATACGTCAGGGACGTCTTAGCCGGTTCACAGACACCCGCCCTCAGCAGAGGCAAAGGACTGAGCCCCTTAGAAACAACCACCGGCGCACCCCTTCCCGGCAGCCAGCCCCACCTAACCAAGGCCATGATCGCCCTCCACAGCAGCCTCGGCCGCAAGGTAATCCCCCATCCACCTGTTGAAGAAATCAGAGTTATTTCAGGCGGCCTTGCTTGTGGGGGACCATCCCGCTCGGCTCAGAAAGCAGAACTCAGAAAGATAAGACAAGGCTCAGACAAAGCAGTTGCCATGGTGGACCGACCCTCCAAACAGCCCAAGCAGTGGACCGAGCCTATCACCTTCACGGACGCCGACTGCGCAGGCATCCGTTACCCTCATGATAACCCTCTCATCATTTCTGCCCTCCTCTCCAACTACAAGGTCAGACGAGTTCTCATCGACAACGGTAGTTCTTCAGACATCATCTTCCTCAACTACTTTCGCCAGCTCAAGATTGGGGAGAAAAGTCTGTCTCCTCTCCAAACCCCTTTGGTCGGTTTCACTGGTAACCGGGTGACCTCCGTCGACTCCATCGATCTTCCTATCACAATCGGCGAGTACCCGCGGCAGACCACAAAGTTGCTCACCTTCCTTGTTGTCGACTACCCCTTTGCCTACAACATCATCCTTGGCCGCACCGCCCTAAATGCTTTTCAAGCTATCACATCAACTTTCCACCTTGCTATTAAGTTCCCCACCGATCTGGGGGTCGAGACAGTGAGGGGAGAGTAGACAGTTGCCAGGGAATGTTATGTCGCCTCACTCAAAGAAGTCAAGCTGAAGAAGGCAATGATCATTAAAGGGCTTGACGTCCGAGATGAGGACGAGCTGGTTAGAGGGGAGCCTGTGGAGGAGCTCGTTGAGGTTCCCATCGACCCCGCTAACCCAACGAAAACTGCCAAAATCGGCAGCCAACTATCCCCCCAAGCAAAGGTCGACCTTATTGCCCTCCTGATCGAGCACAACGATGTATTCGCCTGGACCCACTCAGACATGCCGGTTATTGACCCCTCATTCATAACCCACCGCCTCAGCATTGAACCCCATTTCCGACCTTACCGCCAGAAGCAGCGCATCTTTCATCCGGAGCGCAACACTCTCATTGCCGCAGAAGTCGACAAGCTCCTTGAAGCATAATTCATCAAAAACGTGGACTACCCTAGATGGTTGTCAAACGTCGTCCTGGTCCGTAAGAATAATGGTGGTAAATGACGACTCTGTGTCAACTACTCCGACCTCAACCGAGCTTTCTCTAAAGACAGCTATCCTCTCCCCCACATAGATCTGCTGGTTGACGCCACGGCCGATCATCAAATGCTCAGCTTCATGGATGCCTTCTCTAGGTACAACCAAATTCTGATGCACCCATCTGATCGAGAACACACCTCCTTCATTACCGATCGAGGTACCTACCATTACCGTGTGATGCATTTGGCTTGAAAAATGCTAGGGTCACCTACCAACAGTTGGTCAATGCTGTCTTCCATCATCAGATAGGTCAAAATATGGAAGTATATGTCGACGACATGCTAGTCAAGAGCAAACTCTCCGCTAATCATCTGACCGACCTGCGAGAGACCTTCGCCACCCTACGAAAGTACCAAATAAAGCTCAACCTGGATAAGTGCGCCTTCGACGTAAGATCTGGGAAGTTTTTAGGTTTCATGGTCAGTCAGCGGGGCATTGAAGCCAATCCTGAAAAGATCAAGGCCTTGATTAAAATGTAGTCAACCAGAACGGTTAAGGATGTTCAAAGACTCACTGGCCAAGTTGTCGCCCTCAACCGCTTCATTTCTCGCACAACGGATAAGTGCCTCCCCTTCTTCAAAGTTCTTCGGCAAACTTTTGAATGGACGACCGAATCCGAAGAGGTTTTTCAGCAGTTGAAACAGTGCATGGCCACCCCCCTGCTTTCACAGGCAATCACGGGTAAACCCCTCTTCTTCTATTTAGCCGTGTCAAGCTCCTCAGTCAGTGCAGCTCTTATCAGGGAAGACGGCTCTGTCCAACGGCCGGTCTACTATATTAGTCGGGCTCTCAGGGGAGCGGAGCAGAATTACCCACTGTTAGAAAAATTGTCCTTGGCCTTGGTCACCGCCTTCAAACGACTCTGTCCTTACTTCCAAGCCCATTCCATAGTGGTCCTCACCGACCAACCCTTGAAGAAGGTAATGTAGCAACCAGAACTCTTCGGCAGACTCATGCAGTGGTCAGTGGAACTCAGCCAGTTTGACATCTCCTACCGGCCTCGAACAACGATTAAGGGGCAGGCTGTCACCGATTTCATCCTAGAATTCACTAATCCTACCCCAACCACGGCCCCTCCACCCCCACCAACCCCTACCGACCCAGAAAACCCTCACTCTTGGACTCTCAACATCGACGGATCATCCCGCAGGGAAGGTAGTGGGGCTGGTCTCATCCTCACCGCCCTTGAGGGTGGTTATTTCAAATGTGCTCTCCGTTTCTTGTACGAGGCCAGTAACAATGAGACCGAATATGAGGCATTGATAGTAGGTTTCCACCTAGCCAGGGATATTGGTGTCAGCCACATCCCGGTGTTCAACGACTCCCAGCTCATTATCGGACAAATTACGGGGGAATTCGATGTCAAGGAGAACACAATGCGGACTTACAGGGATATAGCACTCCCCCTTGTTTGCCTCTTCAATACCTTTCACATCAAGCACATCTTTCGAGCAGAAAACTCTAAGGTGGATGAGATGGCTCAGTTGGCTTCTGCAGACCAGTCCGACCTCAGCCATGGTGTCCGCCTCGACTACCTAGCCCACCCTGCCATTTCCCCCAACCAGCAAGAAGTCCAG